TGCCCACCGGATGCCCCCCCCCCCCCGAGTAACCGGGCAGGAAGCTGGGAATTCATCTACAGTCTCTGTGAATCTAATTTAATTTTTATAATTGTTTTATCGAGAAAAAAAAAAGATTTAAGACAAACCTGACTGTACCAACCAAAGGCCTGGACCTTTACATGAACCCCTAGTGGTACATGAGGGCATTGCAATTGATATACAGTGTTTCTTCTTTTTTGTTAAAATGCTGGTTTAAAATTGAGGGACAAAATAAAAAAAAAATAATGAAAAAATAAATTTGATGAAACATTCCATCCATCAGTAGGAGGCAGCAGAGTCTTCTTCTTCAGTCTCCGTGGACTGGATTCAAACATTACTATTAGTAAGAGTATTATGGTAAGAGTATTATAAGAGGGTAAGTCATTAGCACTGCTGTTCTAACACCGACGTTGAAAAGTCATCACTCGTATCGGTAAAGCTAATGGTTTCTACGAGGTTCACCGAGAACCAGGACCAAGTCATTCTCAGATACCTATGAAGTGACACGCTCTCAGTTTCATCCCCTGCAGAGATTAAATCACTGGCAGATTAGATCCAGACTCTGGGACGCAGCAGGACGTTTGACGCTCATCCTACACTGAACACTCAGATCAGCTGGACTGGAGTGAAAAGCGTGAAAATCAAACTGTAATTTGCTGTAGGGTTTTAAACTTTAGACGGAAATGAGCAACTGATTACTGTATCATCGGCATAGAAATCACACGACACAAAAACTCACTGATATGATGAGAAAACAGCCAAGGCTCCAGTGTGGAACCCTGAGGAACACCTTTTATGCAAAATTAGACCAAAAGTCCTGGACGTAGTGTCTGAAATAGTTCTACGTGAACCACAAGTGGTAAACATGGGTACTGCGGGTCATATGCAGAATTTTTTTATGTATATATTTTTGTTTGTTTTGTTAAAATATTTATTAGTAATTTTGTTTTCCTTTGTCATTAGCAAAATATTAGCTTCTATTATTTTTATTTTTTTGGGACACAGGTGAAATATTTTACTACGCATATTTTGTTTATTTTTAAATATGAATTTAAATGACTATTCTACAATTCCATCTGACAAGCAGAGCTGTAACCTGACCAGCTCGGCTGTGAGGTATCCGTATAATGTTCCAAATTGGCTTACTTGTCCGTCATCTCCTGCCCATTCCAGCAGAGGGAGTCGTTGGCTGCTAGGGGCTCTCGGCTACACAACGCTTCTCCCAGACCACTGTAGAAGGAGCTGAAGCCCCTGAGGTTGGAAATGAACTCCCTGAAAAAGAAAAAAGAAATTAACATTTTTGAGGAAAAAAAAAATCCATCTTTTTTAATAAGAATCATTTATTTCAGCAGGGACGCCGTTCTACAAATGAAGAGTAAAACAGACGCGGCGCCACTGGGGCGGTCTGAGTAGAGGTGTGATAATAGTGATAATAACTTCTTAGGGACAGAGGAGGACAGAACAGTCTCTGTCTCTAATTGACCTTAATCCGTCCATTCGGCTGCCAACCCTGCCTGGCGTTAAAACGGCGTTCAGCTAAACCTGTCGCTGCATTAACGCCGCTGAGTGTCACAGGGAAACGTCAGGGACAATATAATTAATGTGGTGTCACCGCTGTCACCACCGCGCTGCCTCAGCAGCTGGGTTTACGGACACGCAGTTCCTCACCTGCGAAGGCCGGCCAGAGTCTCATCGGGATCTGAGGACGAGGGCTGGGAGGTGTGGACCGCAGAGGCGGCAGGAGGCTGAGGAGGAGGAGGAGGAGCGAGCACGGAGCGAGCGGCCCGCTGAGGAGCGTGAGCACACATGCCAGTCACCTGAGGAGGAGAGAAGAGGAGGAGAGGAGAGGAGAGGTCATGAGACGGCAGAGTAAACTCCAAACCTCTTATGTTTCATTACTCCCAGTTCGCGGCCTTTACCCCGTTAATCTGCCCCTGGGTGGCAGTTACACCGCGTGAGAGTGTGAACCGGTCGACGGTGAAAACACCTGCTACAGACTTTTCAGTTGGGCTCCTGCGAGTGTTCTCGTCTGGTCGTGCTCGTTTGTCTCTCAGAAGCCTGACAGCGTGAGGGGATTTGCATTACAAACAAGTTATTGTTTCCTCTGCCGGTCGTTTGGGCCCGGCGTGAATTTGTAATCGCTCAACACTTCAAAACCGCGAGAGCGGAAACGCAGCCGCCCCACTTTTTTCCACTTCTTCTGCTTCTCACATAAACGCCATTGTGTTTTCACAGGGGGTGACACGGCGGCGATAAATAACGCGTTCCCCTCTCTGTATCTCAGAGATAATGGAGCTGGCACCTTCTTTTTCAGGTGCAATAAAAATGCAAATGGCTGTTAATGTTTAGCTTGTGGTTTAACGATTCGCTGCTGGTTTAATTTCCCTCAGGGATTACCCGTGTGGTTTAATTCTGCCGTACAGCGTTAGCGGCTAATTTGTGCCAGGCTACCATAAAAAAGCGGACAGGCTGGCACCGCCGTCCCTGAATACTGATCCACTGAGCCACTGATCCACTGAGCCACTGAGCCACTGTCACGAGGCTAAACTTCCACCTCTGTTGTTCACTGAGCGGAAGTTGTTCTTTGGGTTGTTCGCCTCTCCAGTCAATCTATTAAGATAGAGAACGGTCTCAGTGGTCATGACCGACACAATCAATCGTGACAATCGTGACAATTAATCATGAATAATCGTGATTAATCCACAGTCCTGAATATGACCTTTTTTTTTTTTTTTTCCTCGATATAATAACCGGAACAGAAATACAAATAGCAGCAGGTAGAGGTCAGTGTTTCCCCCCCGGTTCTTATATGTGACTGATTAATATGGAAAAAAAGTTCAGATGAAAAAATACACTGAAATATAACTGCAAAAGATGCCAAATGTGTGTGTGTGTGTGTGTGTGTTGGATTTCACTCAATTCATTAGCGTGTGATTTAGGGTCGTTCTGATGAGCACACAGTGTGTGTGTGTGTTTCTGTGTGTGTGTGTGTGAACATTTACTGAACACATCTGAGAATTAATTGCAGGCCCTGAACACACTAACACACTAACCCCCCCACCCACACCCACACCCACACAGCCACAGTAATGATCCTAAAGCCATTAACAAGATGAACAACTATCCTCCATTATAACCTCTCTGTCAACACACACACACACACACACACACACACTTGTTTAGTACCATGTTTGCTGACACACTGAAATCCTGATTAGTCGTAGAACAGAATCATCAGGGTTAATCAATACGGTGTTGTCATACAGAGAGAGAGAGAGAGAGAGAGAGAGAGAGAGAGAATGCCCGAGTATGTGTGTGTGTTTTCTTTGTTTTAATTTTCTTAATTAACCCTTGATTAGTAAAATAAAATGGAGGACATTGATGCGGTGGAACTGGATGATCATCACAGATGGTCGAGTTTTTTTTTTTTTTGTTCACTAATTCACAACATCCTTGACCAGCCATCCCTACTGTGTACTCGAGTAGTCCTACAGCGAAACACACACTCTCACACACACACACACACACTCACACTCACCCATTGTATTTGCCACTTCCCTGCAGCGAGTGCTGCTGCTCCTACAGGCAGTGATTAATGCGACTGTAGCCAGGAAGCTGTGGGAGTTGGGAAGTTGTAGCATCAGAGACTGAACCCTAACCACCACCACCACCAGCACCAGCACCAGCACCAGCACCAGCACCCCCTCCACCCATTACTTATTGGTGGAAAGGGTTGATTTAGTGGGTGTTAATTTCACCGAGGGCCGGGGTAACGACGCCAACAAGAGACGGCAGATAAAACCTGGCTCAGCATGGAAATATCTGCACACCTTTATCTGCACTGAGCAGAGAGAGAGAGAGAGAGAGAGAGAGAGAGGGAGTGGGGGAGAGAGATGCTGACGGCCCGTAATCTGACCCACACCAACACGGTGTGGCCCACGTGAGTGTGCACATCTCAAGGCCGTGTGGCAATCTGTTTGTGCAAACACAGCGGAAAAAGAACAATTCCAAACAAATCCGTAGCGATGCGCGCGGATCCCGGCGTTCCAAACGTATAATCAGCTTACACATTCGTCTTGATAACGAGATGATTTATGGATAAACACAAAAACTGGAGGGAAAACGATACCGTCAGTGTGACAGAGAGCGACGCCGGGGTCACGGGCGGCTAGAACAGAGAGAGAGAGTAACGTTGTAGTTGGAGAGTGAGTCAGCACCCACTCTCTATATACTCTATATCAGGGGTGTCAAACATGAGGCCCGCGGGCCAAAACTGGTACGCCTGGGGGTTCAATTAGGCCCGCTTGATGATAACACTGCATTTTAGTCTTTATGTCTTGTCAAATAGTTCATTAAATGTATATATTTGTACTTATTTGCATGACAAAAAGGGGAAAAACATATTTTGTTATGATTGTTCTGGTCCGGCCAATCAGGCTGTACGTGAGTTTGACACCCTTGCTTTAGATTATTTTAATGAAATATTAGTTTTATTTTCCCCACTCATTGATGTCACAGTCATAACAACAACACATTCCTGGTGAAACCACTAACTTCAGGACACAAACGTCCTGAACTGAAGGTCAGTGTTAGTAAAACCAGGTGGACCATCAGCTGTCAATCAAACACCGACACGTTTCGTCAGTTCTTCTCCATCTCAGCTTCTACAGCGTTCTTCCAAAAAAAATGATGTGAAAACACAACTCTTCCAAAAACGCCGTCTGCTCGGCAGCTCAGTTAATGACGGCTCCACCTGTTGGTTGAACGTGATCCAGGCACAGACGTCAACCTCTGCTTCACGTCTACGTGCATTAAATGTGATGATGTCATTAGACATGAAGTCTAATTCAAGAAGACAGACATAATGTATTAGTGTAACATGAATAGTCTTTTCACATTAGCTTAAAGTGAGCTAATTTTAAAGGCACACACACACAAAAATTATGAATTAATAATTACATTTTTTTTTTGTGAGCCTCTCTCCACTCCGCTGCTCAAATCCATCACATTTCTGCCTCGACCTATTCATCATGGCTCTCAGCTCAGGGGTCACAGGGTGATGGATGTCCACTCCCACTCTCCCGTCCTCCTTCACCTTGGGCTCCTGGCTTCATTCTCATCCTTCTTTCTTTTCTATTTCCTCCTCTTTGTCCCCCCAACTCTTCCTCCTTCCTCTTTCTCCTCTGTTACTTTGGTAAAAATAGAGCTTCATAAATCATGCATCCGCTCCTGCAGCGGCACGTAAGAGGAACAGAAAGAGAAGTAAATGGAGGGGATGAAGGCAGGAGAAGGATGCTGTGGATGAGCGGCGGAGACAGAGGTGGATGACATCAAACTCCAGGAGTGGAGCACGGAGTTGACAGGGAAATAGATTGGAGCTGCGGGGCTGTTGGCTGCCCTCTTCATCTCTCTCACCACCGGCTGATCTGCACTGAAGTTGCAGCCGATTGCGGGAAATGGATGTAAACGTGCGGCGCAGCAGGTTCTGCTGAGACGGAGCGGTTTCAAGACAGCAGCCGCTCCCTCGCACCTGAAGGACTCCTGAGAGGATCTGTCCGTCACCCCCCCACCCCGACAAGCAGCCGCCCGCCTCCCATTGGTGCAGAGGTTAAGTGAGTGTGATTGACCACAGCTGCAGGTGTCGGCGCCACAGGAAACAACCAAAACAAGACTTCTGAAGTGTTGCTGAGGAGGAGAAGGAGACGCTAACGGTTTCCATGGTTGTTGTAATACAGGTGATCCTGTGATGTGTCCGACAGAAACAACTGTAATGGGGCAATAGGAGGCGCCAAATTACAGTCTCTCCTACGGTGCAAAAATAGCTACACCTGACTCTGAATCAGTAATTGTTCATGGTAAGATACATATATATGTATATATGTACATGAATATATGTACATGTGTGCGTATATATACATATATATATATACATATAGAAATATACATATATACATGTACATATATATACATATACATATATACACATATACATGTACATATATACATATAAACATATGCATTTCCATATATACATATACATGTAAATATATATAACTACATATATACATATGTATACATATACATATATACACATATACATGTACATATATACATATACATGTACATATATACACATATATATGTATTTACAGTCTGTGGTCCTTTGCCCTGAGAGGCCCACGCCCCACCTTTTCAGAACCGCTGACGTTGACAAACTATACACCTTACATATATTAATGATAACGTCCTGCAGTCGTATATTCTCCTCCAGTCCTACAGAGGGCAGATGTGACGGACACTTAAGCGCTCTCCTAAAAAGTGTGCCTCTAATGAAACACAGCGACCCCTGGGTGTAAAACTTAATTTGGGGTGAGGTGATCCGGAGCTTTCTAATTATACTCCATCTCCGTGACTCCTCGGTGAGGATGAAACGAGTCTTTGGGGAGAAAGGCATCTGTCCTTCACAACAGCAGAGCAGAGACTGTCTCTGTAAGATTACATTCAGCCACACACACACACACACACACACACACACACTCGACCTTGTGAACAGCGTCTTCAGAGCGACTCGTCACTCATCTACGACAACAGGAAGTGCCGTCTTAAATAAACACGTGCTTTCCTTTAATTTTGGATGAAGGAGAAAGAGAGACCGGTCAGCGGTTCCTGGCGCAGACACGCCCCCTGGTGTTGCGGGGTGAGTGAGGTCGACCCGGGTGTGAATAAATGATGAGTTCTGAGGGGAAACTCGGTCGATGGTTGGTGCGTCGGGCGGCGCGGGAGTAAAAGGAGCTCAGCCGTCCCTTCATATGTCATGAACTCTTCTTTCTGATTGGGCCGTGAAACAAACTCCTCTTTTTTTTATCAGTCTTAAGAATAAAAGGAGTGAAAAGTACAGACAACGCGGCGGCAGCTGATCAGATCGGTGGCTGAGACGGCACGTAAAATATGTCACATATTTAATTGCACTCTTCTCTGTTCTCTAAACTGCGATACAAACTCCCCTCCGGCCCAGTAGGTGGCAGTACTGAATATTTCCAAACAAGAAAACCTTTCTTTTTTTATCACTTTTTGTTCTTCTTTAGTTGAAAAAACATTATCGTAATAACACCGTCTGATGCTTTTTTTTTTTACAAAGGTTAAAGGTCAAATGAGCCACCTACAGGTGAAAACGACTCATTAATCAGTACAGATCAGTAAAGATGGCGTGGCAGTGGACTCACCATGGTGCTGAGGCGAGTGCGTGCGTTCACGGCGTGCTTCAGGGCCAACTTGAGGATGGAGGGAAGCCTCAGAAGCCGGCAGAGCAGGCGCCGGGGGGGGGGGGGGGGCCCAGCATGCCCTGGCAGTACGGGCAGTACCACAGCCTGAGCAGGGCCCGGCTGCAGTCCCGGCCGGGCCGCAGGTGATCCGTGGTGTTGATGATCTCGATGCCCAGATTCAGCGCCTGCAGGAAGACCCGCGTGGCCAGGAGCGAGCGGGACAGACGGGTCATCATGAGTTTGGGATACGGGCCAAATGCTCCCGAGTCTTTCCAGGCTCCTCTCACGCACTCCTCCGACACGGAGGACAGACTGCCTCCCAGAAGGCGGCGGTATGCGAGGGGGAAGAGGCGCGCGTACAGCGTCGTCACCATGTGGTCCACCGATGAATCTGAGCCCAGGATGTAGTGCGCCATGTCCAGAAAGAGCTGACCGACGGAGCTCTGGGCTCCGCTGCCCAGGCTCGGGAACTCCGACTTCAGCATGGTCAGGGTGGAGTTACGGCCGTGACGCAGGACCAGGTCAAAGGCCTCTGTAGGACGGACGGGGACACAGAGAGTCGGGTGAGGTCAGAGGTCAGAGGGCAGGTGAGGTGAAGAGAGTGTGTGTGTGTGTGTGTCAGAAGAGACAGTTTGCATCATCGTCAACCAAAAGATTTTTAACTGTCAGAAATAGACGTCAGTTTTCACCGAGACATGAAACAATCGCTACACACACACACGGGTGAGGAAACCTCCCACGCACTGCTCCATTTACCCCGACTGCTGGAGCTTTCATTTAACAATCGCTGTGAATACACACACACAGACACACACACACACACATTCAGTATTCACCCTAGAGAAACAACAGACGACATGACATGGAAAAAAGAACAAAGGTCCTGTAACGAATGAAAAGTGGGATTTTTTGGTGATTGAACCCTCGACCCAACAAAAGCAAAGGCAAGGGCGGAGCTGAAAAAAAAGAAAGAAAGAAAAGAATACAGCAGACAGTCAAATCATCAGTTTTCATCAGCCCTGAATGCTCAGCAGATGGGTGGGGGGTGG